TTGTGACCATCTTATATATATACAAGACTAACCCCAATCTAGTAAATGCTAGGGCATTCACGAAGGAACAGGATATTTCTAGAAAGCAGGTGGCGTGACACTAGTCACGTTACCTCGCTGACGCAACAATACTTTACTTTTGCAACATTTAAAATGAAACAAAATTCGGTGGTTTTGTAATCGAATTTATTGGTTACGAGGTTGGACTTCCCCACAGAAAATAGAGCCTTTCTAATCTAATCTTGTCAGAAAGTAGGAATAATTTTATTTATTAGAAAAATTAATAGAACAAGACTGAAAACTTACAGAAACGTAAAGACGAAGTTTATAAAACTCGTGTTAATCTTCTCGAAAATTGCACATATTTGACCATAAAAGATATATTCGGGTGAAATCTTCCATACTGGCGTACTTAAACTTATTTTCTGTTACCGTGTATAGGTTTACAAAACAGGCAGTCATGTTATCAGTTTTATTTAGTTTGTTTAGAGTTTTCACTTGTGGTTACATTAGGTGTATCTGTGAAAATGTCTGTATTTTTCAACTTACAGACTACAGAGAAGGCAGCTAATGAGCACCGCCAACTTTTGGCGTCATCTTGTCTAATTGAATATTGAGATTTGAGCGTGACAATTTCATGGCACACCCACTGCATCAAATTGCAGGTGGAGTTTTGTGGCAGTGGGACACGAGCCTTTAATCCTCGAATTCACAGTCCGAACACAGTAATCACAAGGCCACATTTCTCAGTGAAGTCCTCTTAGCACTACACATTATGTTGTCCGAAGATAACTAGGAACTAGTGTTGAATTCAGGGGTGTACAGGGGGAAATTCCCATGTGCTAAAAACTCCCCTGAAATGTTTTAACTATTTTGTACTTTTTTTTTACAGAGAGATCTTAACAACTAAATAAAAATCGTGATATATATAAGTCAGGATTTACTACTATTTGATCGATCACCTGGACCCAACGATTATACAAACGGAATAACGCAAAATTCTGGTGACTTCTCGAAGAAAGGCGTGTTTGACCTTCACAGCTAGCCAATGTGTATCGAGAGGAGGAGGAGCTTGTTAGATTGTATAAGATAAACATAAACTTATTACCGAACATTCTTAGTGTCGACTAACAACACGAAGAATTAAATTGTGGCGGAATGCTACAAGTTCTTCAAATACCTATAGAATGATA